TCTCATAGGTAAATTTATTATATTTAATTTTATTTAATTTTTATTTAATTTACTTTATTATTATTAATAATCTTTATTATGATTTTATTATGATTTTATTAGATGGTTGACACCATATGCATCATTATTTGAATATTCTATCCAAGAATTGGAGGTGATTGTTTTATTTCGAAAAAAAAAAAATTTACTCAAATACAAATAGAATTTTATAAAGATGATAGATTTTCCTGATCATTTATATTTTATACAGGAAGCTGCAAATCCGATAAACTCATTAGCATCACAAGATGCATATATCCAATCTGGAGTTTCTATTTCAAACAATTTCTTAACTACTGATTATGCTGTGGATCAAGAGAACGCTGCTTCTGGTAATATTACCGTTAAACGTCATACTATCCAAGTAGAATACGAATACCCTGATAATGATAATAATCATGAGGGATATATTGATTATCCCGATGATGATTTTCAATTTGTCGATGGAACTCGTCTTGGTTCGACCATTGTACCTGTAGCAACATCAGACATGATATTAGCTGAAGAACAGGAAGAGATATTAATAAATGATTATGACACTACCAAAAATGTTACTTCACAAAATCTTGTAGTGGCTACACCTAAAACAGAGAAACACTTTAGTATAACATCAAACGGATCTGGTAATTCAGATAAAAGTAGTGGACCAGGAAGTACGCCACCAGGAACACCATCAACAACTACAAGAAATTCAGCAAATACAGGCAATGGCTTGTTTACTTTGTTTGAGAGTGATTCCAATAATAAAAATCAAATCACAGATAAAACACCACGAATTAATAATGTAAATAGTAATCTTGTTTTACCACCTCCAAATGACAATTGCCAATCGGATTTACAGAAAAGTTCATCTCAAACACCAAAAAAGAGGGATACGCCACGTACTAGACCTGTGACTGTACATGGTCCTCCAACGGGGTATAAACAAAATTCTACAAATGCATCTTCGAATATTACACAAAATAACAATGATAATTTACTACAACAAAAACTTCCACCCTCAACCACACCACCTACCATGCCTTTACCCGCAATTCCGGATCGTCAAGATTCATTATCATCTGTAAGCCAAAAGAGACATAAAAGAGCTTCTTCCGAAAAAGTTAGTCAAAATACAGGAAATAGCCCATCGCCAATAGAAAATGGAACATCAGTTAC